GGGGGGGGACGACAACAAAACAACGCTGACAAACAACAATGGACCGACAAACACTGAGAGACGAGACAGGGTTATATCCTCATGGGCTGGAAGATTGGGAGATGAGGAGCAGGTGCGTGGGAGAGAGAACTGAGGAGAGAACGGTGAGATCAGTTAACTGAATGGGAAGGGAAAACCAAGCAGAGGAGGGGATAAACCATAACCTGTGAATATTTAAATAAATAAACCTAAAAGACTAAGGGCACAGGAGAACCAAATATAAATAACAAATGACCTGAGGAGTGAGGGAGACTAATTAATGTTGAGGGTCTGCCCTCATGAGAAAATTTACTATGAAATATACTATATACTATATGAAATATACTATTTCTCCAAAAGACTGTCATCTGCGCTCTGAAAAAGCAGATGATAAATTCAAGCACCAGCAGACTCCATTTCCCATGATTCTCTGCCCGGAAGCAACATGATGACGTCACCAAAGCAACGTCGAACCCCGGACCCACGGTCCGCCCGCTGAAAAGCTATGAAAAGCCAGGCAGAACGAAACTTAACTCTTCTTTTGTTCCAGTTCAACTGGCGTGTAGAGGCACTCGTTTTCCAGCTCCGGACTCAGGCACGAGGCCTGACGGCTGAAAAGCAATGGAACCGCCATCTGGTTCGTTTGAACTCTGAGGGATGCTTCGGGTTCGATAAGCCAAGAGTTTTATTCTCTCCCTTTCTCTTTCTCTCCCGATCTCTCTTATAGCCAAAAGAATAAGCAGTCAAATTGCGCGACTGCTTTAAAGTAACAACGGCTTTCTCTATCTTCCGTACCAAAACACGGCATTGGATCATCTTAAGAGTAAGCCGTTTTGTTTTTGTCATTGTCTAATATCTTAAGTTTTATGCTGTGGCCAGGCTGACAAACTATTAGATATTTCATTTATGATTGATCGTTTGTTTTGTTTATTGATCTTCATGAAGCGGTTTTAAAGTTGTTTAAGTTACTGTGCATGGAAACTTACCACATCACTGTTGAAAGTTAAGTTTTACTGTGATTGAACTGCTTTGGAAGTTTAAAGTGAAAGTTGCCCACGCACACACACACACACACGCGCGCACACACACACACACACATTCTGGTTTTCCGTGTTTGGGAGGACACACACATTCTGGTTTTCCGTGTTTGGGGGGACAAGACACACACACACACATATTCTGGTTTTCAGTGTTTGGGAGGACACACACATCCCACATACACGGTCGGGTCCTTGCTTCCTCAGACAAAGGGACCAGCCATTTTGTTTCAAAACTACCTCCATCTTGAGTTACATCACCTCAGATTGTCATTTCACATTATCATCTCATTGTTAATCACTTGTTATTCGTTTGCTAAAATAAGTTGGTTGATGTTGATTGGCTAAACACTTTGGGAGAAGCTGAAGTGGGTATATTAGTTAATAAATGTTATTGCCAATTAAGCATTTGTCTCAAGTGAGTTTGTTTGTGTTGATATAAAAATAACTGCAGCTCGTTAAAAATTTCACGGAAAGTTTAGACAAGATTGATAGAGGTGTGGATTCAATTTTTTCCCTGTTAAAAAGGGATGGTGCCCCGAGGACATCCAAGGATTTCCTAATTACGTAATAAATCGGTAAATATTTCCATATTTACGAATTTATTGATGAATCCAAAAAACAAGTAAAGCTTACTAATTATTCGTTGACTAATAATCACAACATTAACAAGTGGGGAAAGAAAACACACACACATACTAGAGAATAAAATGAAAACCTGAACCTATGAAAACTACAGAGGAGTGACTGGGAGAAACATGAGGGAAACCTGGAGTGAGCTGGGGCCCAAAAGGGGCACAGGACCTGAGGGGACACCTGGAGGGAGAACAGGAGGGGGCTGGGGACCAAAGGGACACAGAACATGACACCTAAGCAGAGAAGCTCAGACTTCCTGCTCTTCCGGAGGAATCCCAAGACGTTCCCTGGCCAGCAACATAAAAGAGCCTCCCTTCCGGATCAGCTCTCTCTTCACTAAGACTGATCAGTACAACGCCCGCAGTACTGTAGACGCAGCACCAATCCGCCTATCAATCTTTCCATCCCTCGTGAATAAGTTCCCGAGATAATTAAACTCCTGTACTTGGGGCAGGACCTTGTCCCTGGCCTGGAGAAGGCATTCTACTGTTTTCCAATTCAAGACCATGGTCTTGGATTTAGAGGAGCTGATTCTCATCCCAGCTGCTTCACACTCGGCTGCAGTGCAAACTGCTCCAGTGAGAGCCAGAGAACATGTTCTGATGAAGCCAACAGGACCACATCATCTGCAAAAAGCAGAGACCCAATCCTCAGGCCACCTGAGCATTCCTCTCCGACAGAACCACTTTATTCATTTCTTTTCTTTTTTTAAATCCTCACAATATAGCTAAAGCTATCCCATGAACATATGCTCTAAGCTAACTTGTCTTGCAGATGTGTAATTGTAGCTTTAACATGTGATCAAACTGCACCAGCCCTGAGATGCTGTTTAGTCAGAATGAACAACAAATATCTCTTCAGGCAAAAGGCTAAATTGCACTCTCAGTAGACCTGCAATTCTTTAGTGAATTTGGTCAGTGCCCAGTTTGGGTGTGGGGTACTAACACCCTCTCCACTTATAAAAAGCTACGCTGAAACTCATCGGTTTTGCTGATCATTCGAGGCATTCTCTTCTTATTATAAAAATCTGAAAATCTTAGCTGCTACACCAGAAATAAGGTCTCACCATCAGTTACATGGCGTTTTCTCAGCTGCCATCCGTGCTCTTTGTGTGTTTATGTGCTTTTTCCAGAGACAGAGTCCCCGCTGACTTCCCAAATCCAGCATCCCTGTGAGGCTCGGTGTGGAAATAACAGCCGTAATACCGCAGAGATCTTCTATTCCGCCTGCAGCCCTTTGGGATTCTCCCTGTGAACTTTCTCCCCCAGAGAGGGTGTGACTGCATGTCATTCTCTCATCAACCATGTGACTTTGCTTCATAAAAGTGTCAAGAAACCAAAACATGTTTCAGTTTTTGGCATTTTAGCTAAAACATGATGCAGATATTTATTTTTCCACCAAACTGTTTGTAGTGTTGCCATGAAACACAGCTGGACCTCCACCAAAGAACACAATCAGCACAGCTGTTTAATTATCACCACACAAGGAACATAATGATAGCACCAGGAACTGGAATATAGCGCAACATCTCCCCCTGCTGGGCTGAAGACCTCACCGTGGTTAACTTAATAAGCTTCAGATTCACATTAGATCAGTTCCGGCCTGTTTGAGAATCTAAAGTCAGACCTCAGTAGGCCAGCAGCCGTCTCCCTTCACCAGAGCTGTTTGCATGTAGGCATCTAATTGTTTCAACATCTTGTTAAAGATATATTCATTTGCTCCTAACTTAACCTTTGGGTTCTGTTTTGCTTTTTGTGCAAAGCAGCTTTGTTCTGTCGCCTTTCCTTTGAGAGGGTCAAAAATGGGCAGTGTGCATTCTTTGCCCCCCCTTCCCCCAACACACACACACAAACACATATATATTTTCCATGGGACCGTTGGCACAACAAACAAGATAAAAAATTCATTCATTTCGTATACTTCACTGACCTTTTGGTTGCTGGAAAAAAAAAACACGAGACCAAGGAAAGAGAATTTATACATAATTTTACTATCTAAGGTGATAATAAAATCTACATGGTGAGTTAACCCTTCATAGGGCTAACGTCTACATTTAGAATCACATCATAAATTATGCTGGTGTGCCTTCAATGAATTCTTAGAATTATGGGATTTCACCCAACCAAAAGTCACAGTCGGCACCATGGCGACTTTCAACCAATCAGTGCGGGTCTTTGATGCGCAATGCGCCAAACATTGGTGCGTCTGAATATTTGATCATATGCCCTGAACAAGCTAAATAAATCACGTATATTTTTAGGTGAAATCAGTTTTTTATATATAATCTTGATAATGATGGCTATAACATTGAATATGTTTTTTAGTTTTAAACAAATATGCAAAGGAGGAACAGTTATTGCATCAGCCAATCTTGCAATCATTGGTGATGAAGAGGAGGAAGATGACACTGAGGCAGATCCTCAATTATGTAACATTATAAAATATTCCGATATTTATATTTGAAATGGTTTCTATTGATCAATAACTTAGCTAAATATTTAATTTATAGTAAATTATTTGTTTTACAAACCAAATATTTAGGTCTGACCTAAATATTTAGTTTGTGCAATAAATATTAAATTAAATAAATATTTAATTTATTTTACAAAATTTTATTTGGAGCTAAATATTTAGTTTATTAGCTAATTAAATATTTATTTTCCTAAATAAATATTTAGATCCCAATTAAATATTTATTTTGGGGCCAAACCTAAATATTGATTTTGCCAACAAAATGTTAAGCTCCTAAATAAATATGTAGCTAGGATGTAAATATGTATATTGGAATCTAAAAATTTAATTTTGAACTATATTTGTTTTGGAAAGAAAATATTAAATATATTAAATGAAATAATCAGTTAGTAAATTAAGTTTTTATTTTACAAGCTACATTTAAGTCTGACCTAATTTTTTGTTTGTAAAATAAACATTTCACTCTAAATATTTAGCTTATGATGGGCTAAATAACCCTTAATACTGGTGTTAAATTGTGACTTTTGAACTTTATAATTGGCACCACATAAATTACACCCCGGGGTTGAAAGTTTAAGTTTTAAATTATTTCTATTTATGCCCTATAACGGGTTCATTTAAATTAATTATTCAATAATAAATGGTCCAAATGTGCTCCGTGTTTATTTACATTTCCTCAGCATGTATTTACATGTAGGGGGCGTAGCTTAAAATGAGCACTGTAGCCAACCACTAGGGGTCATTTCAGACTTCTGTTTATTCTGATTTGTTTTGAATGTATTTCGGTCTATTTTTTATAACTCAACCATGGTTTGAATGAAGAAAAGAAGCTCTGAATAAATAACAAGATAAATAATCTTTATTTCCACATCTGTTGTTTATAAAATTATGTGTTCACAATTAATATTAACAAGGCAACACAGAGAATGCTTTTTATTTCTCAGAGGTGGAACTCAGGCTCTGGAGACGGGTCTGCTTGTCTGTACAGAGACCAAAATATATCGGTTGGATGCAAAAGATCGACTGCTCCTTTAATGTTAGCGAGGGCAGCAACTGTTTTACAGATCACGGAGGGCTTTAAGTGCCACGCCGGAAGAGACTGCAATGGGTCTCTAGAGCCTGCATTCCCACCAAGCCCTTCAAAATACAGTCAGAAAACTTCATAGCATCACGGCTGCGTTTCGCTCCGCGTAAACCAGTTCATTAGCAGTTCCTTGAGCATTTTCACACCAGAAAGCCCTCGCTGAAATCAGCCACTAATTAAGGTAAGCACTACTCTTGTCTATCTTATTGTTGATTTCTTTTTCCTACACAAAAAAATTAAAATGAAAAAACCAAACAGGAGCAACGAGGAAACAACTTTGTACCTAGAGACACAATAATGAAAAGAAGAGGAAGAAAATCCTTGGATGATGCTGAAAAGATAAGATAATTTCATGTAAGTCTGTCTGTTGTTGGTAAGCGTGATGAACAATTCAATATTACATACTGTATAGGTTATTATTACAGTGACAAGATCCATGCGCTTCTATTTTTCTCATCTGTACAGTCAGTTCAGTAGTAAATAACAGCGATGCAGACCTATTGTGACCCGTGAGGACAATTGGACAGAGGGACAAGTGGACGGGTGGGAAACATCACAGGCTTTTTTTGTTTTTGTTTTTAAAGCAAACCAGCATCCAGATTCTGGTCTGAAATGAAAGGAACATTCCACCACTAACTCAGTCCTCTCTGTATTGTTTTTTTATTTCACTTTATGGTTTAATCCAACAAGCTCCGCCCACTTCTACAAAGATTAAAAATCTGACTTTCATGACCAGGAGTGACCCCTGAGAGCATGAGAAACTAGAAAATTATGAAAACATCTGGAATCCATGATGTCATGCCTAGGAAGTTATCCCCCTTCCTTGTCTCAAGTAAAAAAAAACACCTCTAAGCAACAAACCAGAAGATGCAGTAAGTCAGCAGGCTGATCTCGGATGTCTAGGATGGATTTTCTCTACAAGTCTGAACCAAACGCTACGCCACACTCGAGAGACCAGTCCAAGTTGCCTCAGGACTGGAAGCAAGAAAAGCAGGAAAGAAGAAATATTTTGGGGGCGGATTTCTTCAACAGCTCCTTTAAAGGGATTTGTCAGCCAGTCTGACGTGTGCTTGTGCTGTTTAATCAGCTGGTGAGGCAGCAGCATTTACGAGAAATAGTTTATGTTCCACAGGATTGATGGGCTAACGGCTAGACTGATTGTAGCAAAGAGCAACTTGTTTTGCTGCCATCTTAAAATGAATATACCAACAAGATTTCTGTTTTTTATGACACAGATGGAATTCTCTGATTATTGATAAGTAAAATCATCACCAGCATAAAAGTCTAGATGTCAAGTTTAACAGGACGTTTCTTTATTTTTGCCAAAATAATGCTAAACTGATGGAGAAAAGGTTTATGAATTAATAATAACTAGAATTAAAAAATTTGAAAGATTAGAGTTTATAGCACATCTAAAATACATTTTTAACGCCAACTAGCCGTTAGCTCATCAGTTCCAAAGGACAGAAAAGCTATTTCTCCAAACTGAAGCTGCTCAAGAAGCTAGCAGTCATAACGTTTAATTCAAAATGGCTGAAGTTCCCTTTATAGTCACGTTTGTAACCAACAAATGAACCGATGCTGATCATTATTCATCCTTTCATCTATAACAGTAAAATAACCTAAATACTCAAGTTACATTCAAGAAAACCATCCTCATCATCCTCTCCCCGCATTTTCCGTTTTTCAGTGAGAAGCAAAAGTGTGCTGATGATCCGGCACGGCAGTCGGAACATTTTTTTTGTGGAAGCGGCGAGAACCCAAAAGAACCAACCCAGGCCAACTGAGTACCAAGACCCAACAATACCCATAAGAAAATAAAATAAGACTTAAAAGACAATCCGAACCTCTTGGATTCATTCAGTCAAATTCATTATTCTCTAGTCATGAAACAATAACTTGAGTAAATGGCTGAAGCGCTGAGAGCAGGAGGAGCTGAGGGAGCAGAACCCGGTGGTGGGCGGGGTCTGGAAGCAGGAGGTCATCTGGGGTTAAAGTAGCTGCAGAAGGTTAAGAGCTCTTTAGCTGCGACATTCGTTGAAACCACATGGTTAATGGAGGGGGGTGAGTGATGTGCCACATATCTGACATGGGAGTGGTTCCAACCCCCCCCATGTTGGATCAGAGTGAGGATGGTGGCGAACGATCAGATCTGTGGAGGTAATTGATACCAAACCGATGTGGTGGGGAACCCAGTGGGTCAGCTGACCTCAGCTCCTCCAATAAAGCAGCCAAGCAGGGTAAAGTTATTTGCACCTTAACACCCCCACCCCTCCACAAAAAGCCTGATAACCCCCGGCTCCCGTGTCCTAATGAGACAGAGAGCGAGAAACAGAGGCAGAAGAAAAAGCCAGATGGATGAAACAGGAAGTGAAATGAGACCGCGCTCCTCCAACAGGGACGGCAGCGGCCTCAGGACTCGTCCTCCAATGTGTCCCAACAGTCTTTTCTTCTCAGCAGGTCTCGGTCTTTGTGCTGAATCAGAACCACGTCCTCCGTCCCCACACACCTGGTATTACCCGATTACCCCCCATCCCCAGAGTCTATTCCTGCACCACCATGTTTGTAGAGCGAAAAAGGAGCAAGTGAGCAGAAATCTTTTATCCTCTCAAAACGAAGGACTGAATCTTTTCTCTGCTGTTGTTTCCCGCTCCTGTAGCAAAAGTTCTGCCCATTTGTTTTATTTCCTCTCTTAAACACACACACACACACACCTGATCTACTCACACACACAGATGTATGAAGCCATGCTCGCAGGAACGCTAACGCTCTTTCACGCAAGCCTTGCTCAGTTTTAGTGGTGCTGTGTTGGACATGCGGGGTGGGGGGGGGGGGGGGGTTACAGAAATAGGGTCCTAGCTCAAAAAAAAAAAAGGGGGAGAGAGTAGCTGTGTGTGTCTAACTATGCGAGTGTGTGTTGAGGGAGAGGTCTTAGTTCAGCTGCCGTCTCCTCCGGTATTTCTTCTCCTCGTCACCTGGCAAAAACACAAAAGGGTGGTTTAGAGACGGAACGCGGGAGTCCACGGCCGGCTGGGTCTACAGCAGCACAGAGAAGGTCGGAGTACCTCTGTCGCGGAAGGCGAGGTAAAGACAGTTTATGCTGAATTGGAAACGCAGGAGAAAGGAGAGACAAGCAGGAAACGCATCAGCAGATAAACAAGAGAAAGAAACAAGTCCAGCAGAACGGTTTAGTACACACCTTCTAAATGGTTCCTGGAGATGTATTTCAGAGCCTCGTCCAGGAGGATGACCGGGATGGAAATCTTGAAAACCACGATCCACTGGGACCAGCGCAGGGGGGTCACCTGGAAGATCAGCTGATGGACAGGAAACAAGAACGTTCAGGCGTGACGGGAAATGAATAAACACAGATTATTCTATTTGGATTCATGTTTCTGCCTGGCCCTGTGTTTAAGCTCAAGTATCCCACAAACCACTGGAGGGTTTATTTTGATTCTCACAACTAAATTTACATCCTGATAATTAAGTCATGGAATCGGCACGTTCAAAAATGGCTGCCAAAGCTAAATGAACTCAGTCAACCCATAAAAGGCCAGAAGGTTAGGGTCACGGTTTCCCTCTTTCAAGATAATCTCAGTTTAAAGGTCAAGTTTACTCATATTTTAGTACATTTTCAGTCGTTGCCTCTAGTAGGAATTGATGCTTTGTAAGTCGTTCTCTGGGGGGAAAAAGGCTCTGGTGCGTCTGTTTGAGAATGGAGGAGTCAGGAGGAGGAGAAAGACCAGATATTTCCTGATATTTGGACATCTCGGATTGGATAAGGGCAACGTGACTTCACCACTGACTCCGTTAACTCTGCAACACTGACGTTTGATCTCCACAAATACCTCAAGCCTCTAATTCTGTCATGTAGATTAAGTGTCTGATCCCACCCTGATGGCGGGTCAAACTGTCCTCTGATTGAATAAAAGCTTTTTCAAAAACTCGTTATCACAAAGTTAAAGAGTTTCCTCAAATTTCCACTCAGCTGCTTACAATCATAAAAACCACCTAGCTGTAATTTTTCCAACAGGAACAGTCCGAGATGGTGCTTTTCATCTCTGGATTAAAGAACACCGCGATCGCTTCTTCTCATGTGTGACGTTTAATCTCAGATGCATCCGAGCCCAAACACGGTCCACACTCTCTGGGTAAAGCTAACAAATGTGCATCGAAGAGCTCTGATTTTATCAGCTAATGTTTAAGAACAGTGATGTCTGAGGGGTCAGAGGTCATGGGTCTATCTGAGGTTGAAGCTTTTGCCTTTTATGCATCATAATCCATCCGGATTACTTGAAATAGTTGACGATATTCTGCCCTGCAGAGAGAGAGAGAGATATGCAAATCTCTTCAGTGTTTAAAATGTTTGCGTGGTCAGATTTCCCTTAAATGATCCTGTTAGAGCTCACATGTCGCTGTCGTTGTGTCCTTGGGCAAGACACTTAACCCGCCTTGCCTGCTGGTGGTGGTCGGAGGGGCCGGTGGCGCCTGTGCTCGGCAGCCTCGCCTCTGTCAGTGCTCGCCCCAGGGCAGCTGTAGCTACATCATAGCTCATCACCACCAACGTGTGAATGGGTGAATGACTGTGTTGTAAAGCGCCTTGGGGGGTTCCAGGATTCTAGAAGGTGCTATATCAAATACAGGCCATTTACCATTTATAGGCCTGAGATTTTATAGATATTTATAGACATAGGTATTATAGATTAAATGAACTGTTTTAGAACTAGTGACCATATTTGAACATAAATTACAGCTTGTTTTAAAAATAAAATAAAAAATGAAAAAGGAATTTTTAAGTAAAAAAATATAATGAATTTTGGAAAATGCTAAAAAATTAAAACCTTCAAAACTGCCTAAAGCTTTAAAAAGTAAAAAAGTGTTTAAGAAATGCTAATAAAACTAATAAAATAGTCTAATATTTTTCTAAGTAAAAGAACCTCTAAAATAACAAGCTTGAAAAAAGTGTAAAAATGTTACAACGTGAAAGAAAACAGTAAACAGTCAAAAATATATGAAAATCGTCATCTTCTTCCTGCGCTTATCCGGGTCCGGGTCGCGGGGGCAGCATCCCAACTAGGGAGCTCCAGACCGTCCTCTCCTTCTCCACCAGTTCCTCCGGCAGGACCCCAAGGCGTTCCCGGACCAGATTGGAGATGTAACCTCTCCAACGTGTCCTGGGTCGACCCGGGGGCCTCCTGCCGGCAGGACATGCCCGCAACACCTCCCCAGGGAGGCGCCGAGGAGGCATCCTGACCAGATGCCCAAACCACCTCAACTGAATCATTTCGATCCGGAGGAGCAGCAGTTCTACTCCGAGTCCCTCCCGAATGTCCGAGCTCCTCACCCTATCTCTAAGGCTGAGCCCGGCCACCCTACGGAGGAAACTCATTTCGGCCGCTTGTATCCGCGATCTCGTTCTTTCGGTCATTACCCAAAGCTCATGACCATAGGTGAGGACTGGGACGTAGATCGACCGGTAAATCGAGAGCCTGGCTTTCTGGCTCAGCTCCCTCTTCACCACGACAGATCGGCTCAGCGTCCGCATCACTGCAGACGCCGAACCAATCCGCCTGTCGATCTCCCGATCCCTCCTACCCTCACTCGTGAACAAGACCCTGAGATACTTAAACTCCTCCACTTGAGGTAGGACCTCTCTCCCGACCCGGAGTTGGCTTTATATAAAAATAAAGTTTTAAAACATTATTACATTCAAGAAACAAAGTTTTTATATGAGAGAAGCATGTAGAAAATTGTTAAAAAAAAAGAAAAACGCTTTAAAAATAAGAAAAGTGGATTTTTTTTTCATTCCGATTCCTTTACAACACTAAAAACAGACCCAGTTATTTTCTGACAGTAACAAACTTAAATCCTTCAGATTAAGTTGGACGTTCAGAAATTTTCCACAGACTCACCGGCAGAGGCTCGACGTAGAGGATGAGGAAGTGGAGGGACATGGACAGGATGATGGCTCCTAGCAGCCAGATGTTGACCCAGGGAGGCATCCTCAGCAGGGACTGGTTCTCAGACAAGCTGTCAGAGACACGATTCAACCAATCAAAACACGACGATGTCTCAGCTGTTCAATCTGACCGCTTCCAGGAAGAAAAGAGAGCTGCACAGCAACAAAAAGCTTTTCCCTCCAGGCAGCTCCTTCCTGTTCTCTCAGAGGGACGCCTGTCTCGTTTAAGATGGCGTCTGATCCCTGTAATATCTCTCCGACAGCCCTGACATTTAAGGACGGGTTACGCTGACACCCCATCGGAACACTGACCTGTTGAGCGCATTAAACATCTCAATCGTGACCAGCACCGACAGGGCCATGGTGGTGGGGTAGCGCGACTCAAACACCTCGCAGTCGATGCCTTTAAACACGGGGTTGTCCTCCGTGCACTGCATGAAGTGTCGCTGCAGGACACAGACACACAGATCAGAGTCAGAACGCATGTCCAGATCCGACGTGGCGCAAAGTTTCCCTTCATCCTAACATCGGCGCTCACCAGCTGATAGAAAGAAACCTGCGGGCCCTCTTCATCAAACAGGTACCACCAGGTGGCTGCGCTCACCGTGCCAAGACCCACGTACCCTACAAGAAAACAAAACCCTCATCAGGACTGAAGGACACACCGCAACTGGATCAATAACGTGTTAACAGAAATGTTAAAGCTGTTGCCAGTGATTTTTTTTTTAAGATTTACCATGGTAACCACAAAACTAAGCACAAATAGAAAAAAACTAAGCCTAGCGGTAATGGCAAGAGAAACACAACCAAGGAGCTGAAATGTAAAAATGAACGTATTTAGAGTCAAATCGTACCTCCAATGGAAAGGTATCTGAAGAAGAGCCAGCCGGAGATGAGCGGCTCCTTAGGATTGCGGGGAGGTTTGTCCATGATGTCCAGATCCGGGGGGTTGAAGCCCAAAGCCGTGGCAGGAAGGCCGTCAGTCACCAGGTTCACCCACAGCAGCTGGACTGGAATCAGAGCCTCGGGGAGACCCAAGATGGCGGTCAGGAAGATGCTGCGGACAGACAGAGGGGGACAGATGAGTCAGGGACGTGGGACGGCTCTGGACCCCGTCGGCCGTGTTTCATCCTCACCAAACGACCTCTCCCACGTTAGAGGAGATGAGGTATCTGATGAACTGCTTCATGTTGTTGTAGATGGCTCGGCCCTCCTCCACAGCGGCGACGATAGTGGAAAAGTTGTCGTCGGACAGAACCATTTCAGACGCCGATTTGGCCACGGCGGTGCCAGAACCCATGGCGATTCCAATCTCTGCTTTCTTCAGGGCAGGAGCGTCGTTCACGCCGTCCCCGGTCTGGGAGAAGAAAACAACCAGACTTCAGAAGGTTTTATCTGATCGTCTTGCAGGCAGGAAGTAAATTAAAGAGATAAAATGAATAAATCTGGATCAGCAAACTGGATAAAACCTCTTTGAAGTAAAGAAACTCAAACTATTTTTAGGAAAGTAGAAAATTTCTTCATACTAAAATACAACGCGAGTAATAATGACTGAAAGTGATCAACACCCCCGACTGGGTCCTCAGAGGAGACATTTACGAGTCCTGGCGGGGCCTGAGAGCCGTTTGGACATCTCAGAGAGGTGGAGAACGTCCGACAGGCGAATAGTGACCCCGTTGTCTTGCCCCCGCCCTCCCCGATCAGCCTGTCTTCTGAGGCGTATGTCAGAGGAGCCAGCGGAGCGGATGACTGCAGTGTCTGAGAAAACAGGCTCACAGAGACCTGACACACGGCACGCCTCGCCGACTCGTTCTCATGCATCCTTAGGTTGTTATTCACGTTTCTCACCATGGCCGTGATCTCGTCGAATGACTGCAGGTAGCCCACGATCTTGGACTTGTGAGCCGGCTCGACGCGGGCGAAGCAGCGCGCCCGTTTCACCGCGTCTCTCTGCACCTCCGGCTGCAGGTCATCAAACTCGCGGCCCGTGTAGGCCTTTCCCGTCACGTCTTCCTCCTCGCCAAAGATGCCTATGCGTCTGCAGATGGCCACGGCCGTACCTTTGTTGTCTCCTGTGATCATGATGACTCGAATGCCTGCCTCGTTGCAGAGCTTCACCGAGCCAATCACCTCCTTCCTGGGAGGGTCGAGCATCCCCACGCAGCCCACAAAGGTGAGGCCCCTCTGAAAGGACAGAGAATAATCAGAGGGCAGAGCTTCAGCCGTCCTGCTGACAGCAGAACACTCGAGTGTCCTACCTCATACTCCACAAACTTGGTGCAGTTTTCCAGGTCCATGTCTTCTTTACGAGGCGGAGCATCATGAGTGGCCAGTGCAAGGCAGCGCAGGGTGTCCTTCCCAGTCCCCCACTCCCTGATTTTACACATCAGCTGCTCGCGTAGGGCGGGTGTCATGGCGATCTTCTCCATTCCCACACGCAGGTGCTGACACCTCTCGATCACACTCTCAGGAGCGCCCTGTCGGCACAAAAAAATAGCCAAGATCCAAAAATTGAGCTACAATTTTGAAATTTGATCTCAGGGATTAAAAAAGCAGTAGACAAGAGTTTATGATTAAATATCAACAAAAAAAAGTGTCATTAAAATGTCAACGCTGCTGTATGTGAAATACTCTTACCTCATCCTTTCTTTGGAGAATCATGAGATCAGATTAACTATTAAAATTTTAAATGATTTGAAAACCTCTGATAGGAGAAAAATGAAATCACCTTAACAAACATCTTGCTCCGGGAGCCCGGTTTGACCAGAGTGCAGTAGACGGACATGGACTTTCTGTCACGAGAAAACTCCAGAGTGAACTCCTTCTTCATCAGCTGCCTGATCACCTGATGCGTGAAAAAAATGGAAACGGGGGAAAGCGAAGGATCGATTTGAACCTCTGATTTGAGCAGCTGCACTTTGCATGTTTGTACAGAAAGACTTGGAGGAAAAAAAGCTTAATACCCAATAAAACCTGCTGTTTTGCTCCTTAATAAAACTATTTAAGCTTTTTCTACCAGCAGGGGGCCCTTCTGGTTCAGACTGTGCTGATGAGAGTGGGAGAGGTGGATGCAGCAGCAGGACTGATTAACTCTGTCAGGGGGGCTTCAAACCCCTGAGCCTCTTTATCAGAGAACAGCTGATCAACAGACACTTTAACTTTAAAATACGTCCGAGTTGGAGCACACACCGGGTCGTTGTGTTCCCCGCCCACAGGCAGGCCACAGTGCGATACGACAAGCGGAGTAATTACAGTTTCACTGGCGTGTTTATGCTGGGAGCGGCAGCGCGGATACAGACACAGCTGTGGGAGCAAACAGTGTGGATTTCTCAATGAACAAAGAGGAGTAATAATCGCATCTCCATGGGGCAAGATAAACAAGTCTGATCAAATATTTACAGAAAACCAACATCACTGTTTTTAGAGCGGTCAGACTGACAATAAACGGTTAAAACATGAGGGCGTACTTATCGTCCCGCACGGCCAAAACACACCTGCTGATGGGGCTGATTCATTAGCATGCTGGTTCACTTCTACTTTTTAAAGCAACACTAAAGAGTTTTTAATGGTGTGGGACACTCATTTATTCAGTACATTTGCAATGATCTCTAGTAGGAATGAACACCTTGTAAGTCATACTCAGGGGAGAAAAAGCCCAGATATCGGGAAGCAGAACTCAGCTGGAGGAGAAAGAAGCTTCAGACGGTCTTATCTCGCCTCGGATTGGCTAACAGCAACACACCTCTACCACTGACTTTGCACTGCAACGTTGATGCTTGATCTCCATAGATAATACAAAACAGAAAGAGTTCTGCTATGTGGTGGAGTTGCTAACGGTTAGCTTCAACTAGTAGAGGCAGTCTCTATGGTTTCCTGGATGCTAAACCAATAACAGCCTTCCCTATCGTGAGTCAGGATGGGTGAGTTCATGAATGTTAAGTGACAGTGTGATGTCACACTGTCAGGCATTTTGGATCCTGAAGTTCCACCGTCTACTTTATCAACCAGTGCAGGAGATAGGTGTAGGAGATGGTTTCATGATCAGCCTGGGTGAAAAAAATCGGAGTGACCGATTATAATCAGTGAGCCACACCTTTAACGCTTTAAGCTACTGCTTTCAAACTGGTGTTAGTGGTTCTTGTGCCAGAAACCCGAGCCGCTTTACACTGGACATCACTCTGTTGCCCTCTTCTGACTAGAAACTGCACTTAACAGTTTTGTGGTTCAGGTTGGAACACTAGCTGAAGGTCTCTACCGGCTTTACGGAATTGGCGGTTTAGCTGTGCTGGTAGCTCATATAAAGACTAGCAGTTAGCTTTTTCAGTTCACCGATCATCGAGGAAAAGCACAAAAAAAAAGAGGAAGTTTGCTTTTCTGTTGGCATCATGGTCGAACCTGGATGTAAAAGTAAGAGTAATGTCTTTGGAGGTGAAGTAAAGAGCTAAAACCAGAGTGAGCATCGGCGCAGCCAACACTCTTTTGAGGGAGCTAAAGGAGGCTACAAAATAACAGACTGATGGTGACCTGGCTTTGTTGCTACTGGACTTGTAAGTAACAATATTTTTAGTCCAACAGTGTGGATCTTTTTTACTTTGTGGTTTATTTAGTATTGGTTGGGGTTTTTTTAGCATTAGCTCATGCTAGCGTTAGCTCGTTGTTAGAGCTAGCAACAGCAGGCAGGGTTGTTTATGACAGTTGTAATTCTACTTTTCAGCCAGGAGGCTCAGTACTGTCAACAGTAGTAATAGTAACAGTAATCAATGACTAATAACAATAATCAATAATATTTTTATTTATTTTACCATCTTATTTTTATGCGCTTATTTCTAGTTGAGTTAAAATACGAAGATTAAAAGAAGCTCTGAAAGCAGGAACTGGTCTGGAGCATGGAGGTGTGTGTTAACATGATGCCCAGGAGCAACATCAGCTACTGTTGGTGGCCCTCTCTCTGGGAAGGGTTAAAGGTCACTTGAACATCATTTGTGCATCATCTGAAGGATTTTTCCACAGTTTTAAATAAAGTTGTGCTTACCAAGTTGCAGGCTCCCGCCCGCTCCACCTTAGTGAGTCCCGACAGGTCTGTTTTAAAGACGTTCATCTTTTCCACCAGGGTGGTGAGAGCCGTCTCTGTGGCCTCACCAACCTTCTCATAGACTCCTTTAGCCTGTAAAAGAGAACCCAGCCGTCCTTTATTTGACTTCATGTCAATTTCCCTCTGGGATTAATAAAGTATTGATTGACTGATGTGCATTTTCATGCCAAACTTCATTAATGACTGTGAGAATGGTTGAATTTAACACCACAGAAACATGCAGGAACTCATTTGTGAACAAAATGGTTTGAAATGAACATTTTGCACGAAATGCCAAACTGATCAGCCACAGATGGCAACAAAACGCCTCGTTTCTTTCTTCTAACTCATGATTTAGCACACTTATCTTAGACCTTTTTTTAAATGTGACCAACTGGTGGGAAAGCAGCTATTTGTGAAAACTGAAATCTTGGGAGGATACGTGGAAGCTGAGAATCGCTTTATTCTTGGCCTCTCTGCTCAGCGTGGTTACCATGATAGCATGGCGACGGCAAAAAAGGTGTCGAATCAGAGCGAGGACAATGCACCAGAGTACAATTAACTCGGCTGAAGGACAGAAGGCCTCCAGTGCTGTGCTTGTGTGTCCATACAGATGAAGAATCTGCTAAAACAGAAACCGAAGGTGTGTGACGGACCTCGTTGTAGTCGAGGGACGAGTCGTTGCACATGGAGCACACAGTGGCTAACTCCACGAGTCCATCAAAGTCTCCACACTGGACTGGTTTGTTGCCTTTGAGTCTGAAAGGACAGTAGACACACATAAAGAGTCAATCACAACAGTAAAACTCAAGGGAAAACACTCCACACACAAACACGGCGTTCCGGTGAAATCCTGGGAGTTGGGAAGGTATTTTGGTTACTTTGTAGTGCACAGTTGGTTGTACAGTAGAGTAGTAAACAGAGCAGGTGCATGTGTGCACCGCTTATCCTGACTGCATGACAACTGCGGATCTGTTCCCTGTAGAGACTGTTGTTAGCAAAGCTCCCACACACAAACCCACACTGTGCTGTTATGAAACTGACAGGGACACGTAGAGTCAGGATGCTGTGCTCACTAAAAGGTGAAATAAACAACGACCCACTAAAATCCTGCTGCTTAATGGACAGCCTACCTGCACACCTACACAAACACACACCTCATCACCGATGTTTTTTATCAAAAGCGAGGGAAAAGGTTCGCATCTAAAACTCAAAAAAGTGCAGCTGACTGTCTGGAGGTGGTGATTGATGCTGATAACTCCTACTTTAGCAAAGCAGAACCTGTTTTTACTAAAACACGCGAGTCTGCAGACTTGCAAGGGAGCTATTAAAGTGGACAGACGTCACGCCTTTCCTAAAAGAAGTAGCAGAATTGTGCAACTCACATTTGTCCCTCAGGGGCATAGGTAGAACCTGTTATTGAGAACTCGTGCAGAGTGCAGCCGGACTCTTCCACTTTGTCTGCAACAAACATCTGTGAGAGGAGGAGAGAGCAAACACAGGTGGAGAAGAAGAGTTAGTTAATCAGTCAGAACGGAGCTGCAGCTGCTTTTCAAAGGTTAAAAGAGTCAGAGGATTCGGCACAGACAGTTTACCGGTCTGGAAAATTCTGTAACCGGATGTTTCCAACCATCTTTTACTATTCTGACCCTCATCTGCACCAAACTGAGACATAACTTCCTTTTACAGGTTGTAAGAAAAATATTTTTTGCACATTTCGTCTTTTAAAAATACCAAAACAATGTTTTTACTGCAAAACTCGTGTGTTAAATCTAAAATGTTAAATTTCTTGGTTAGACTCTATAAACATCACTAAAGGCTTAATAAGGAAAATATTAACAACTTTAACTTGTATTAATCACCTTAAGTGCATTAATGGTGTCAGGAAGTAAGTTTTTAATCACTGATCCACATTAGATGAAAAATGCAAATGAAAAGACTTGTCAGGTGAATTTGTCAAAAAGCTTCTTCAGAAATGCTCAGAAAGTGAGTTTTTTTCCCTGTCCTATTATTTCCAAGAATGTACACAAAAAGCTTTTTTTTCCCGTTTAAATAAGCTACAATTTTCAGAGGCCTAAAGGTCAGAAAACTCATTATTATTCAAGATATTCGGACAACTCGCCTCTGATTGGCTAACAGCAACACAACTCTTCCGCTGCCTCAGTTTGCTTTGCAACGGTGATGTTTTACCTCCACAAATAACTCAAGCCTAAAGGAATTCTGCTACACTGTGGGATTGCTAATGCCAACTGTTAGCTTCTACTAGTATAGATGTGCTCTGCTTTCTCCAGGATGCTAAATCAACAGCCTTCCTCATCACGACCTAAGATGGGCGAGTCCGTGAGTAAAAGCAGAAAGAGCTTTAACATTGATCTCAGTGAGGCCCTGTCCACACGTAGCCGGGGATCTGCCAAAACGTAGATATTTTTCTATGTTTTGGCCTGTCATCCACATGAAAACGGAGTTTTTTCACACGAAAACAGATCTTTTTAAAAACTCCGGCCAAAGTGAAGATCTGCGTTTTCTCCGTTTTGGGTGTCTGCGTGTGGACAGACAAAACCGGAGTTTTAAGGTCCGCAACGTCACTTTCCACGACAAAAAAATGCTGACATCACGTGTGCGACCTGTGTTTACACTAGCCGACAGCATGGATGCCCTCAGAGCTGCGCTCGCTTTATCAATTGTCCAAGCGCTTTTTGCTTGTTTGTTTTTGCAAGCGGAATTACTGCTCCTTGCGGAAGACCACAAACAAAGGACGAGGTTAAGAACGGGGGAAGTACTGCCGCCTACAGGTCTGGCATGTCCTTAACAACGTATTTATCCGGGTACGTGTGGACGGAGTTTTTTTTTTTAACGAGGTGGTGTGGATGCAAGTTTTTGGAGGGGCGGATATTCGTTTTTTTTTTTTAAAACTGCTACGTGTGGACTAGGCCTAAGTTAGAAACTTGACCATGTTTCATATTTGACAGCACTCTGCAGCCCTCTACTGACCAAAAACCACACTAGATAGTTTTGTGGAGCGGGTAGGTGCCCTATACGGGGAGCTCTTAACCTGTATAACTGCTGTTAGTGCTAGCGGTTAGAATTTTCAGTTTGCCAATCGTCGATAAAAAGCACAAGAAGAGTTTGTTTGTTTTTTTGGTGCACATCAAATTCAAATTCAAGGATACTTTATTAATCCCAGGGGGAAATTAAGAGTTTCAGTACACACAATTCTGAGTGCAGACATACACACATAAGCAAAGACACATGACAAGAATTGGTGACTGTGGTCATTCGCAACCCGAGTCGCACTACCTTAATAGAGATAAGAGAGTCTTACATGAGGATTGAGTCAGGTGGAGGAAAAAAGGCACTTCAGAGTTACCCTCCACAGGGAGGGCAGCTTTGCTATGCAAAAAACACCTCAGACAGAAAGGCAGACAGACTTCAGACATCACACAACATAAGTGGCCACTAGGTGGGGAGGTAGGGTTGGGGACTATCCTCGCATCAATGCATGCAGCCACGACAAGCGGCCGGGAGGGGGGGGGGCATAGGATTTAGAGAGCACAGTGACTCCTGGAATGAATCGGCGGCCTTCTCCGGTCGCAGTCTCGCCCAGGCTGGGATAGGGAGACAGCGTTGTCATGGTGAGGGCAGCATTCCACATTTCTTCTGAGGAGGGAGTATTTGCTTTGGCCTCACAGGCTCAAGGGCACCAGATTCAGATAAGAAATTGTTTTGGGGCCAGACAGAGATAATTTCCAGTCTGTCTTAAAGTTCTGTTGGTCCTCAACCCCTCTGAATCTAATAATGGCGTAGTTAATCTATCCCAATCCGCGGTGACCTGTCAGCTCTATCCTTGATGGCATCAACCTTCTGTGCCAGAGTCTGAATCTCAGCCAAAGTTCCAAGATTATGACTCATCTTGACAATTATATGAGTTTTTTACATGTTGGAGCCTGTAAGAAAAAGGGAGTAGTGTCGTTGAGGGTGAAGCAAAGAGCTAAACCTAGAGTGACCTGTGATGGTGACCTGGCTTTGTCGCTACTTGACTTGTCAGTAATAATATTTTTCGTCCAACATCGTGCATTTTTTTACTTTGTGGTTTATTTTAGTATTAGCTGGCTCATGTTAGCACTAGCTCATTGTTAGCGCTAGCTACAGCAGGGTTGTTTATGACAGTTGTAATTCCACTTACAACCAGTGAGTTACTTTAATGTAACAGATCTGTGCGGCTTTTTCAAATCCGAACATTTAGGTGTAGAAGACTTACTGTTCTGCATGAGTGGCCGAGCGCATTTCAAAAAGAACAAGTATTATACGTTTCTCAGTTAATTTCACCTTTAAGTGTAAAAAAAAAAAACCCGAATCCCAGGAACATCCGGCTGATTCTGAACCAGAGACGCTCCTGGATTGAATTTATTCATGTATGTTCTTTTTAAACATCTCTGAACATCTAAGCACCCTGAGAGTTACAGTGATGCTGACACTGCCCAACTTGAAGCAGACAAGCCCTAAAAAATTACAAAACAGGAAAAGAATGAGTGAGAGAAGAAGATGGAGCTCAAGTCCCAGAGCTGTCAAAAGACCTCAGCCTTGTTGGCAAATCTTTTCCATGAAACCAAAACCCCCAGGAGACACAATTCACATTGTTCTGGTAATACAAATGAAAACAAAACAAGAAGGTAGCACAGCAACAGAATGCATCCACAAAGCTCGAGAATTTCATGCAGTTTACATAAAAATCTAACATTATATTGCTGCTTTTTACAAGTTTTATTAATCCACATCAATATTTTCCAGTAACCAAGCTACTACATAAAATAGTCTGATAAAAACACAGCTATAAATAACTAAATCTTCATTTAACACTGATGTTTTCTTTCTTAATTTCTTAAATTTCCTAGTCATGTTGAGCAGATTTGGAAAATCCAGCCTGAAATTCCAAGAAAATGTGAGGATTTTGTTCAATTGTGAGCGAATCACCCAAATACAGATGAGAGAACCAGTCGGTCTAGTCTACGTTCCTCAAATCTTGCTACGAAGGAACCTTTTACTGGACCTTGTTGTCGTGAGAATAAACGTATTCACTGATGATCTGACAGAAAACACGGACTTTATTAAGATAACACATAATGAGAATAAACAGATACACCCGTCAGTCAGATTAGTGACAAATTTACTCAGAGAGTTTCTTGGTTTGGTTCTTGGTCCTGAAACTATAAGCAAAGCAAACACAGGTGTGGCCAGATCCACCAAGACAGGTTTTAAAAAGCTGCCTGAAACACAGGCAGTTAGTGCAGTTATTTAGTGCCTTGGTTTAAGTCTCGTCCGTCTGGTAGATTCCAATGTGTAAATGATGTTCTAAATCTTTGCGAGACTGAAACGTGATGTTCCTCATGGCGCTGTTGTCGGCCCTTTTCAGGCGGGCAACATTTAATGCCAAGTAGTCTCTATAAAGCTCTCATTCACTTACATTTTAATACATTTTCTATGAATTAATGCCTAATGAGTCATTTCCTGGGGGGAAAAAAGCTCTGACGCTCCCGTTTCAGGGGGTAGAAATTAGTCAGAGAAGTAGCGGACAGAAAACTATGGGAATAGGTCTTACACATTAATATTCATGACGTGATGGCTAAAAGTGATGCAGCTCTTCTGCTGCTTTTGTTAGCAGAACCTGGAATACGGTACACAACATTTTCCTGGGGAAAACATTTAACATTGATGCGTTATCTCCACAATTAGCACAAGGCCAAATGTTGTGGAGTTGCTAACAGTTATCTCCTGCTAGCTGAGATGTTCCCTGCTGTTTCTTGGATGCTAAATCGACACAGCCTTCCTCATCATGAGCCAAGAAGTTTGAGTCCATGTATTATAATTGGATTAGGGTTAGTTACTTTACAGTGTGACGTAGATCTGAGGAGCTTTTCTACTCCGAGTGTTTACCCGTCTATTTTCTATCAGCGGCTAAAACAGGAAACAGGTGTAGAAGACTATTTTCATGATCAAAGCGACTAATCATGTTTCAAAAATAACAAGTGAAAAACGGTTTCTCGGTGAACTTGCTCTTTAACAGTGAGCCAATTGACCACTTATTAAAGTGAAATCAAGTAGAAAAATAAAAATCCCCAAAATGTGTTTTTGTGAGACTCGATATTAAGCTGAGCATCGGTATGAAACTGAAAAATTCAGAAAGTGACATTTTCATAAAAATAATATTAACAACCCAGAAGATTTCACAACACAAAAAAACCTGAAACTTCACAAATAATTTAAAACGTCTATATTCAGTTTTCCCTCACTCCCTGAGTCACTCGGGTTTCCACGGAAACTAGGCCCAGTGCTTTTTTTCTCCTCATTTCCTCTGAGGTTATGTAGGGAAGTGTGGTGAGTAAGCTTACCCTGTGTGTGAAAGGGAAAACACGGCATCTGGATGCAGAGGGAATTCCCTGGAAATCCTAACGGGGACACCCCAGGGGTCAAGCCGGTGCCAGCAGCACCAATGAGGTCAGCAAAATAATAAAAATATAGAATAAACTAATCCAAATACTATATGAACTTAAAAGAATCATAAAATAAATGTCTGATTTATCCTTGTTGGAAAGTAGAATATGTGCATTCCCTTATCTAAAAGCCCCACAAGCCAGTGAGTTACGGTAAAATAAGTAAGTCAATGTTTACTAAAGCGAGCCTGTGTTCATTCTTTTTGTTTTGTTTCTGGTTTTCAGGGCTGTGGTGCGATCACGCCTCCACGCTCCTCCTGCTGACGGGAACTCCCCGCTGCAACGCAGTCCCAGACGCTCCTCTTCAGGAGGAAAGAAAGGGCGAGCGCCAAGATTCACCTCTGACTCCAGCTTTTAACTTCAAACTTGGATTTTTACCACCATTCTCAAAGATATTTACATAATTTACTTTCATCCTGTGGTGTAGGGAGATATTTTAGCACTCAGAGGACTCCGCCGTACGGAAGAAGATCAGAGCACTGAAAAGAAAAAAGAAAAGAAAAGGAATTCTGACTTTTTGACTTCTGAGAAAAAGTCTTTCTTTTCAGTGACCCTGATCCTTTTCTGTATAACAGAAAAAACTCTCAGCGACTGAAAAGCCCAATTTCAGCTCAATTCTAATCTTTTTGTAAATGATTGTTTGTTTTGGATTATTTTAACTTTGAAAACTCATTTTAGTTCATTGATCTTTGTTCCTGTGTTGAATGAGTTACTTGTAATTTGTAATGTTTCTATGTATTTTGCTGTTGTTGTTTTTTTACTTAGTTTCTTTGTTGTTTGACTATTATTGTAATAAGTTCCTTGAAAGGAGCTTATAAATAAAATGCATTATTACTATTATTATTAATATTATTATTACTCGTTTAATCTGGTTTCATATTCAGGTATAGATTGTAGCGAGGACTGTTCTCCTCAAACAAAGAAGCAGAGGACATTATCCGTGTTCGAATGCGGTTTGGATGGTTTTGGTTCTGCCCGATCCGCATCGGCGGCCACCGAGTCACTGAGGTGAGCGATGAGCTGCAGGACGAGATGTCGGTCGGGACTGAGGTGTGTGCAGAGACCATAACAGGAGCAAAGACAAACAGCAGTGCTGACATTTACCCTGTGCTTAGAGGGAAGTCGTTTACAATGAAACACACACACACACACACACAGAGAGACAAAAACAAAGGTGAGGTTATGAGTGACTTATGAATATCTGTGGATGAGATCTTTCCGTGTTTGTTGTCTGATGTGATTAAATGTGACTAAATATTAAAAGCCACCCACAGAACAGCTCAGGACTTGATACGTTTAAGCCCATTCGTTCAGCCAATCTGACATTTTAGCAGCCGTCACTGTGTGAAAACTGATTGGCGGACTTTAAAGTGTTTTAGTGGTCTGACCGCCAGCATGTATTATTCCACCGGCAGCCATCACAAACCTGGCCAGTGGAGATAAACGTTACAACAACGAAAGGATTTTCCAAACTTTAGGTGCCACGCACCTGCAAAGAAGAGGATTTATGGCGGTTGCTAGCATTAAAGGTGGAGATGTTTAAGGATGACTCACTCTGCAGACGGACATTTGGTTGGTGGTGAGGGTGCCCGTCTTGTCGGAGCAGATGACTGACGTGCAGCCCAGCGTCTCCACCGACGGCAGGCTGCGGACGATGGCGTTCTTTTTGGCCATGCGGCGCGTGCCGAGGGCCAAGCAGGTGGTGATGACGGCCGGAAGGCCCTCGGGGATGGCGGCCACGGCCAGGGCCACGGCGATTTTAAAGTAATAGATGGCCCCTCTGACCCAGGAGCCTCCATGGACTGGATCTCCGAAGTGGCCGATGTTAATGACCCAGACGGCTACGCAGACCAGGGAGATGACCTTGGAGAGCTGCTGGCCGAACTCGTCCAGTTTCTGCTGCAGCGGCGTCTTCTCCTGCTCCGTGGACGCCATCTGATTACGGATCTTGCCGATCTCTGTGTTGATGCCAGTAGCGACAACGACGCCTATGGCGCGACCTGCAGCAATGTTGGTGCCCTGAGGAGAGCAGGATTTGAAAAAAACAACAAATAAAAGGAGCTAAACATGCCGTCTATGAAGACATGAATCTAGATGAGGGAGTCGTGTGTGTGTGTGTGTGTGTGTGTGTGTGGGGGGGGGGCAACTCACAGAAAACAGCATGTTCTTCTTGTCCTGGTTGACAGCTCTGGGATCAGGAACCGGATCAGTGTGTTTGATGACGGAAACCGACTCCCCTGAGATCAGATTAGCTCAGAGTTCATACCATTAAACAAACACCACAATAACTATAAAAGTATATAAACACACACACACACACACACACACACACCTGTAAGGATGGACTGGTCCACTCGCAGGGTGGTGGACTTTATGGAGGTCACTCTGATGTCAGCGGGGACTTTGTCACCAACTAAGAAAATTATTTAAAACAAAAAAAGTGTCAGAATTTTTCCTTTTTCTGTCTCGCTTGCTTTAATATGTAGAGTCCACGCGTACGATTCAGGGACGACGTGCCATGACGTGAATTTGAAGAGATGAAGGTAAAGGAACGCCACGGACAGATTCCTCACTCTTTCAGGAAAAAGTTGTTTCCTTTTTTGTCACTCGGGAACCGTCGGCTTCTGTTTGTGAAACAAAATTCCCTCTAACTCATGTGCTCGCTGAAGAGCAAGGCCGTTTTTTTCTGCAGGCAGAAATGTTCTGATCATCTATGGGCCCAGCCCAGACTCAGGCTTGCAGCACAGGTGAACAACAGCTCAATAAATCCTTGGTGGAGACACGTCTCTGTCTCAATCGATCATTTTCCTTCTCCGGTTCCCAAATGCAACAAGTCCTCAGACATAAACTACAAATAAAGCCTTTTATGTTCTCGATGGCTTATTAAACTCAAACTTTATGCCAGAAGCCTCAACTGTCACTTCCTCTCTTTAGAGTTTGATGATGAACATTTACCGAAGAAGAGAGCAGAATGGTCGATGCAGTCTGTGATCGAGGCAGACGGGATATTCCGAGCATCTTCCTCAGCTTCTAGATCTTTGTCAGTGACATAAATGACTCCACTCTTTTGATTTTACGTAATCAAATCTACAGCAAATCCTGGAGTTGCTGCAGATTTGCTAACATTCACTTTTCTAGGCTGCTTCTAGATCTTATTTCGACATTTTCTGGCAGGGATCGGGATGAAAAGAGGAGAGAACTGAGTGAAGCTTGCGAACCTCTGCTTTCCTTTCTCTGTTTTCTTCTTGACATGCATTATGGGATGTGTGTGCGAGAGTGGGAGTGTGTGCTGTGTTTGTGTAAGAGATGGCCGGGGGCTGCAGGTTCGCTGTAGTGGGACTGACAGAGGGCAGGAAAGAGAGGGGAGCGCTATTCAACACGCCTCCTACTTCTCCTCCAGCGACGACCTCCTACAGACGCCATTTAATAAGAGAATTCTTTTATGCTAATGAAGCTTTAAAGATGCAAAGAAATGAGATAACCTTCATTAAAAACATGGATAAAGAGGCTTGTTCCTCTAAAGAATGAGGTTGGCTGTTTCCAAATAAAATCTTGCAGAACAGAGGAGTGGAGATCCTTCTTCACGTGCAGGAGAGGCGTGACTTTTCACACGGAACGGCTCCAGCAAGGTTTCCTTCCTCCTGACCGCCGTGTTTAAAAGGCAGAGGAAAGTTCCAGAGGAGGTGCGAGGTGTCTGCCTCAGCAGAGCTGGAAACTTGAGTAAATATATTTATGTTCTCTCTGGTGCTCCATGGCGTTCTTCTCTGACACATTACTCTGCCACTTCCAAGCACCAGAAAAACCGGCGGCTAATCTGAAGCATGGGAAGTAGAAGGACGAAAGGAAAACGTATTTTCAGTGTCGCCGTATCCCAACATGCTTCATTCTGAGGGGCTGTGCTGACAGACCCACGACATCCATCCGTTTTCATCCACTTATCCAGAGTCGGGTCATCGGGGCAGCAGCCTAAGCAGAGAGGTCCAGACTTTTCTCTCCCTAGCCACTTGGCCCAGTTCCTCCAGGGGAATACCAAGGCGTTCCCTGGCCAGCTGAGAGAGCTCCAGCGTGTCCTGGGTCTTCCTTTAAGTCTTCTCCCAGTTGGATGTGCCTGGAAAACCTCACCAGGGAGGCGTCCAGGAGGCATTCTAGCTAGATGCCCGAGCCACCTCAACTGGCTCCTCTCGATGTGGAGGAGCAGCGGGTCTACTCCGAGCCCCTCCCAGATGACCAAGCTTCTCACCCTATCTCTAAGGGAGAGCCCAGCCACCCTGCAGGGAACGACCATTTTGGCCGCTTGTTTCCACAAGCTCGTTCTTTCGGTTTCTACCCAAGGCTCGTTACCATAGATGGAACATAGATCGACCGGTAAATCGAGAGCTTTGCCATCCATGACATGCACTTTTAAGAGAGAAGAGTGCTTTACTGAACCAGCTTTAGCTATTTACGGCTGTTAGAAGTTGCTCAGCAACAGCTAACGTGGACGGGCACAGCACGTGCGACAACATCGTGGCTCTACAAACTGCATCATACAAACTTATTGAACCTGCCCAAAAATGTAGTCATTAAATGAAGCTAAAATGTTAACGAAAATATGCAAATGTGAAGTTGTAAGCTAAATTCTAAGAAAAAATAAACCTTTCTCGCTTATTTGGTTTGGAAAAATCTCTTTTGGCTTTGATTTAAACCTTTTTTTTTTCTACTTGCAATGCAGAATCAGAAGGGGTTAATTGCCATATGTGTGAGAAATCACAACACTAGGAAATCGCTGCGGCACAATTACACTTCATTATTACTTTAGTGTGTTTCGCACGCTGATCCTTATTTCACAGTAAAATAATAAAAATTTACATTTTTGAGCATCAGTCCCCATCAAACCTGAAGATAATAGATCAAATAATATCAAACATTTAAATGTTTATTTATATTTTTACACTCTAAATTGATCGATTTTTCTATAAGAGCTGCTGCTGATCAAATCTTTACTTTGAGGTAACTTTGAAACTGTAAACACCTTTTGAACTTCTCTGCTGCTGTGGAGATGAGCCAAACGGAGCAGGTGCTGTTGTCATGGAGACGCCACTGGTGTTGATTGTGACGGTGGCAGTAGTGTCTGTGATTTCTAAATGTGTGGCCTTTGTGTGACGAAAACACAGATTCTAACGAGCCCACATCCCAAAGTTTACGTGAACTAGGTTAGCGGGGAGATTCGGTGCCGTGCTCCGACGCTTCACTGGCTCTCTGTTGCCTCCGTGCTGAGATTATGAATGAATGCTGAAATCTCTAACACACACACAAGTCATGCTGGTACTGGTGCCACCTACTTGTGTGTATGTGTGTGTGTGTGTGGGGGGGGGGCATAAAAAACTTTCAGCAGTGTCCAGGTGGTAAGACTGAGAGTATGGAAAGGGAGTCAGGAAAGCTGTGGAAAATTCAACCGAGCCTTGAAAACAGGCAGCTAACACTACCTCTCTCTTTCTTTCTCTCTCTCTCACACACACACACACACTTATGTAATACAGTTTGAGATATTCAAATAGTCTTTCCAGCCTCATGGACGGAAGGGAAACGTTGAGCGAGTGTGTTGGTAGTAATGGGAGCATACAGGCAGCCAGGTGACACAGAGAGCGCCAGGCGGAGGTCGGCGAAGCCCAAATCGGTTTCAAGGAGTGACGGAAACTGTTTAACGAGATGCAGCCTCTGCTAACCTGCCACTTCCACAATGTCCCCAGGGACGATGTCTCTGGCTTTAATCCTTTGGACGGCCTTGCGGTTCATGCGATACACCTTCCCCATCTCCGGCTCGTATTCTTTCAGAGCCTCAATGGCGTTCTCGGCATTCCGCTCCTGCGTGGAGAGAAAGATGTTGACAATACTTTATGGGGGAAAACAAACTAAACACAACTGCTACAAATTTCTCTGAATTTTTACAAAGTATTTGTATTAAAAACATTTGTGCATCCCACCTGCCAGACTCCAATAACTGCATTGGCGATGAGGATTAGGAGAATAACAATAGGCTCTACAAAGGCGGTGGTTGTCTCCTCGCCCTCTTCAAACAGTGCCAACACCTACAAAATATACAACACAGCACTTTTGCTAGGATGTTACATTTCAAGTCCCATGGTCACTCAAGCGCTGCCTAGTGATAGAGCGTCTGCCCTAGCACCGGAAGATCGAGGTTCAAATCCCGGTTGGGTCAAAGCAAAGACTTTAACAATGGGACCCAACACCTTTCTGCTTGACACTCAGCTTAAAGTGGTTGGACTGGGGGGTTAAACCACCAAATAGTTCCCAAGTGCTGCCACAGCTGCAGCTCACCGCTCCCCCGTGGGGATGGGTCGAATACGGAGATGACTAATGGGACTTTAAGTTAACTTTATTCCAAGACAGCTGACTGAATAACACTGAAAAAATATTAGTTCAAATTTAAAATTTAAAGATTAGTAACAGGTTACACACATATATATGCCTTTAGAAAACAAATTAGCAACCATGTAGCTACCATACATTAGCATACAACTAGCTAGCATACATTAGTATTTATTTTAGGGCTGGGACTTGATTAAAAATTTTAATCTAATTAATTACAGGCTTTGTAATTAATCTCAATTAATCGCATTTTAATCGTTCAGGAAGATGTGCTCTCAAAGTAAAACTTTTAATTAAAATTATGAGACAGAGAATTAAACATTAGACATGGTTATTACTGTAAACTAAAGCTTTTAATAAAAAATGCATTTTAATTATTCAAATGTCACTGTGTGATATGAAACAAGACCCAAATCAACTAAAATGTATAATTACAAATAGAAAACACCTGCAAAGGTTCCTGAGCCTTTAAATAGTCTCTGTCTAGTTGAATGACTGAAATAAATTTGAATTTGCACCAGATTATTTTTTCCAGTTTCACTTGTTTGTATAATTGGGAGTTTTTATTAGCATTTCTACTCATAATGTAGTAAAAACACATAAATAATAATCCTTCAAAATGACAGTAAAACAGGCACAAATATGATCTAGGACTTAAGTGTACTAACTTTTAACACCAGAGCAGGCATGACATATTCTGAGAATGATCAGGAACACTAACTGGTTCCAGTTGGATGACTGGAGGATGATGGGAAGATAAAAGATCATGGAGAGGAAATAACGATCTGACGAACAGGTGAGCGGACCTTCCTTACATGGGAAGTTCTGCTGTCACGTTAAGAAGGGGATGCTACAGACCCGCAGATTCACGCCTGCAGCAGTGAATCTGGTGTGATCTCCAGCCTGATCACAACTTCCTCGTTCCTCGCTGCCCCTGATGCACTTAAGCATCCGCCCCTTAGCTGGTGACAGCTTCAACACACCTCGCTGCTTAACGATAGTAATGCATGTGATGTTTAGACACGTTGTTTGTGATTGTTTACGGAGTAGTGAGAACACGGAGCGCGGAGCGTTCTCCCAGCGGCAGCCAGGTGCCTCTCGTTTGTCTGACTACTTTCATAAACTACTGTTAGGGCACAGAATTATTCTGTCTGGTGCTTTCAGCGCTGCACAGATGTTACGTAAATGTTAAAAATAAAGCTTACCACAACTTTTGTAAAGTTTCCGGTGCCACCGGGCAGCCGCAGCAGAGACGTTCTCTGAAAAATGTCCGCGACACGGACTCCGTTGTTGTCTGGAAGTGTTTCTTTCCAAGGTAAGAAAAGAGGCGGACGTGTTTCCTAAATCCTGCATCAGTCCAAGCAAGGCAACTTCTTTCTGTTTTTATTCCGTTTTAGTAGCCATTAGCACTGTGCATTGTTGTGTGCGTCAGTGATATTCAGTCTACCAGGAAATCGTGCAATGACAAAGGTTCCGCCGTGCTTGAAATGCAAGCTGCGATTAAATGTGTTAATTTTTTATTAACGCGTTATTTTTTTCTAATTAATTAATCGTAATTAACACGTTAAAGTCCCGGCCCTAATTTATTTATATTACATAAATTAGCATACAAGTTGCTAACATACACTAGCATTGATTAGCATCAACTTAGCTAGTAGCATATTTATAGATTTCACCCCTTTAGCATACGTTTTGCAAATACTCATTAGTGAAAATGTAACCATTTTAATATTTAGCTGGTTTATTAAAAGGTTTGCTTTGAGTTTGCTTTGAATATTAGCTCCAATATTAAACAGTAAAAACGTTTTTATTTAGTTTTCAGACGATGTTCAAAATTATTGACCAAGCAGGTCAGGAATCACTGAGTTAATTAAACCTTGCATAGGAGAACTACTGCAGCAAAACAGAGCTCTAACAGGGTTACTGGCTCCCTTTATCGGTCGTGTTGGGGTGAAAGTTCAACAGTTCGTTTCTGATGAGTGAGGGAAATAAGAGTTCAGTGATGAGATCACAGAAACAGAAGAGCAATGCCTTTGCCTGTTTACTCAAGGATAATAATGTCTTATGACAGGGTCAGGGCAGCATAACTACTTCTATGTCTTGTGATAGAATAACAGTTCCCTAGGTCAGAGGTCAAAAGTCAAAATGTCCTCACTGGTACATTTCCACAGAGCTTTGACAGCATAAGCTTGAGTATTCAAATTTCCATTTTAAAGTACTGATGAGATATCCGAGGTAGCACTTCTAATCCGAACATGGTAATTATAAAAATGTACATGTATGTGATTTTGTTAGTTCATGTTAACATTGGCAAACATACAACTACTATTTAACAGTCTTCCTTAAACTGGAGGGTTTTTTAGCCTACGTTACATCTACTCACGGCAGGGATGAGGTTCTGCCTTAATGGGAGGAGTTTAAGTATCTCGGGGTCTTGTTCACGGGTGAGGGAAAGATCATTAGATCGATAGGCGGATTGGTGCTGCGTCTGCAGTGATGCGGGCGTTCTACTGATCTGTCGTGGTGAAGAGAGAGCTGAGTCGGAAGGCAAGCTCTCGAGTTACCGGTCGATCTACGCTCCCCCCATTTGGTCACAAGCTTTGGGTAGTGACCAAATGAATGAGATCACGGATACAAGCGGACGAAATGAGTTTTCTCTCCGCAGGGTTGCTGGGCTCTCCCTTAGAGATGGGGTGAGAAGCTCGGTCGCCCGGGAGGAGCTCGGAATAGACCCGCTGCTACTCCATATGAGAGAAACCAGTTGGGGTGGCTCAGGCATCTAGTTAGGATGCCTCCTAGACGGCTCGCTGGTGAGGTTTTCTGGCCACGTCCAACTGGGAAGACACCTAAAGGAAGACCCAGGATACTCCGAAGGGACCACGTCTCTCAGCTGACCTGGGAACGCCTTGGCATTCCCCGGGAGGAGCTGGCCCAAGTAGCTGGGGAGAGGGAAGTCTTGGCCTCTCTGCTCAGGCTGCTGCCCCCGTGACCCGACTCTGGATAAGCGGATGAAAAGGGATGGATACACCATAACCATTCATTTAGTTAACTTTGAAAAAGCTATTTAATTAATTCAAATTTTTTCTGCTAAATTCATTAACTTTAGCTCTGAACGACGTGAAGATTCAAACTTCAAACTTAGGTAACCCCTAATGGCAGCAAAAATATTTCACCTTATTTTGTGAAACACAAGAAAATGTATTGTTGGTGAGATTTAACTCTCTCTCTTTAAAGTTGAATAATACAAAGTGGGTAAAGATATTCAGAAGTAAGAAGCTGACTTCACACCTATAGGCTTCCATAACCGATATGAAGCTGCGCCGGCATCGTAAAGGCGGATGAAGTGAATATCTTTTACGACGATCTGATGGGGCCTGTCCAGTGGCAGCAGATATTCTCTCTGCAGATTATCGAGTGCAGGAGAGCACGTCACGGCAGCCTGAGCACGGTCGATAGCTCATCATTCCCCCTCATTTGGGACGGTAAATCTCCCGTCAGACCGAGCCGAGATCAGAGGGCAACAGTGGCGGTCGTCTCAGCACAGATGACACTTGGAACGATCAGCACGAAGCCAGAGAGCAGCTGGAGTGCCACACTCCTCCTTTCCCACCAAAAATGACTGCAAATGGAGTGCAAAGTAGTTCTGTTTTACTCCTAGAGGGTGACATTTGTTGAGGAATATTAATGTTTGCTTTTGGAAATCAGAAATGAAATTTAGCTTTGCTTAAAGACATAAAACTCTTACGCTCAACGTGCATAAATGAATATGGAGATGAGTCTCAGGAATATAAAGGAACAAATGTATTTCTTAACATCAAATTGAATGAAAATCATTGTTCAGACTTCTTCCTTAACCCTTTTCAACCTACAATAGTAGTTGGAGGCTATGTGGCTTTCTGGGAGGTTCTGGCCCTGTTGTGACTCATTTTGTGGCATTAATGTAAAAGTAAATGAATTCTGCTGCCTCACCTCTTTTTGCCTTGATGTTTAGAGATAAACTCCACTGTAGCATCATGCAAAAGAGACAGGAGAGTCTAATCATTTCAATTTGAATTTATTCAAATAGCAAACCAAACGAGTCCTGGTTTAGGGCTTAAATTTACCTCAGCTTCACTCATCTCCCGCCGCTCCCACATCGCAATGGAAATATTTAAAACAGCAAGCAAATAAAAGGATCACAGACGTGCCCGTTCACAGGGAAGCAAGATCTGAAACGGAGGAAACTCTACCTTTTATTTTTGTTTTTTTGAAGGTCACAAGAAATCTGGCTTCACCATGTCGTCCTGCAGCCGTGAGATCTCTGATATAAACGTTTTTAAAGCAACTTTCCAACTCTCAGAAACAGAAACAGCTATTTCATTCAAAGTGCTGGAATTGATGGAAAAACATTATTACACAGGCAGGGCTCCCTCCCTCTGTGACCTCCCCCTCCCTCTGGATGCTACCAGGGTCACAGATTGATAGTTTTATTTCCACTTTGTCGCAGAAATCCCTTAAACACAGTCTGGAAAAGCCTGTTTTCCATGTGGCCGGACTTCTAAAGCCACCTAGATCTGATTGTTGTTTTGAAAGACCTGGAGGGAATTCCAGGAGAGCTAGTGACATTTGACCAGGCTGGTTTTTACTCACAAAGGAGACGCAGGCAGCTAGCAGCAGGATCCGAACCAGGAGGTCTTCAAACTGCTCCACCACCAGTTCCCACAGAGACTTGCCTGAAACATGCACATCAACGTCACACACCTGTATGCATCACCTTTTATATAAGCCTTAAGTGCACAGGACTACAGATGCCCACGTGCAAGAGGTGTTGACATTAGCTCTGGGAGTCCTGACAGGCAGCTGTAAAGCAAGACGGTGTGTGTATTTATAGAAGAATGGTGGTGTGTGTGTGCTTATGGGTGGAAAACCCAAAGGAACTTCAGAGTTTATAGAAAAGTAAAGATCCATTCTTGAGACACTTAATCAGGCGGTAAAGGGAGGAGGATTGCAGCTCATTAGAAGAATCAATATTTACCTTCTTCAGCCGGGAGCTCTGTGGATGTCACGCCGCGTCGGGTCCGGGCGCAAGGGGAATAAAAAGTGGCGGAGCCGGAGGTGCAGAGGGTGGGGATGGGTGTGGGAGAGAAAAACAAAAAGAAGTTAATGCATTTGATGAACTCAACCAGACTCCGAGAAGCGAAACTGTTGAGCTCGGTTAGGATTAAACGCTCCGCGCGTTGAGGTGAAACAGGAGTGCTCTCGTCGGCCATATTGTTTGGGACAGAAAATCAAACTCTAAAGAAAGACTTTTACACAGCAACACAGGCGTCACACATGAATTTCCTGTACTTTCTGGGTTTATTATAGGGGCCTTTGAACAACCTCGGTTTGGAGAATCAGCTCAACCCTGATTGATAAGCTAATGGCTAGTTAGAATTAGTGCCTAGGCCAAAGTGGACAGAAGTTGTGACTAAACAACTCAAATCAATTATGAAGATGTTCAGCAACATGAGCAGCACCCGGGTCGACCCGGGACTCTGGACGCCAACTTGAGGTTAGCGCTGACCTGGTTTACGAGCTAACGGCTAGTTAGCACAGGACCAAAACCAGAGGTAGCGCATTAAAACAACTCCATCCTCTACAACTCATATGCTATTTCATGAACTTCTTCCATCGATAGCTGCAGTTATTTTCATTTGCAAATAACTCCATTAACATTTATAATTCAAACCCAGAAACAACGTTAAAGTTTACACAGCCGTGTTTGCATTCATTCCTATGGATGTTTTGCTATTTGAGTCAACTCAAAGTGGAAGCAAGACCACTTTGATCTTAACTGAAGTCTGATTAGCCGTTAGCTCATCAATCCGGTTGCGAATCATCTCCGTTTTTCAAAAGTGAGGCTGTTCGTAGAGCCAACTACAGATATTAAAAATGTATTGTTTGTAAGCTTTTCACAGAAACCCACTAAACTAGATTAGCTAAAAATGTATCCGATGCTCCCAAAATATCAGCGTGCTTTATTTGCTGCAGCAACATCACACTAGCGTGTAGGCGCCGCACGGCTCTAACGGAACAAACCAAAACGTTTTCTTTTTCTTTTCTGTCATCTTGTCAAGTTTTCTGTCAATATGAAAACAAATGATGCATTATTTTCTACTTCTGGCAGCTTGAGACAAGTTGAGCATCTCATGTGGCTGATGAGGAGAACACAACACCCTCCACGCACATGAGTCACTGGTGCGAGTGGAAGGCACATCAGTCGTGGTCTAAAAACATTTCAAACAACAAGTGCTGTTGATCAGTGTCGCCACGGCGAGGGCTGAGGCGTGATTAGTCACCGCGTTCAGCGAGTCCTCACCAAAGTTATTGCTGAGCAGGTTCTACGTCACAACCAGCCCCCATCCTACTGGATTTCACGTGTGTTAGCCCCTGCTCTTTTAGACGTGCTTATTATCTTCAAAGCCAGTTTGGAGGCAAGTGGCTAAATTTAGAAGGAAGTGGGACGGAACATTAAATGACAGCAGTGTTCTCCGTGGTGATGTGGAAACCTCGTGTTCCCCTGCATGTTTTGACCTCAGCGCGCTGCACGAGTAACAAACGTGACCCTGTGTGCAGATAGGGGCTGGAAAGAGGAAAGCCGGTGACGTGAGGCTGCAGCCTCTTTCCAAAAACAAACGTCTCGCAGCTCCTCGTGTGGCGCAGGGAGAACTTCTCTGTTGTGGAAAAGGGGGAATAAATGAAAACATAGGTACTTCATTTAGCATGAGGTCAAATTAGGGGTTTGCTGCAACCAAAACAAGCTCCACACACAGACTCACCAATGTCTGCGCCTGCAGGTGATCCACCGTGTTTTCAGCTATGCATTTTCATTTCAAAAACAACCTTTATGTGCAGAGGTTACCCCGGTCCAGCACTCCTCAGCCTGTGCAATAATAGCTGATGAGTCATTGGGAATAGCTTTCCAAACAGGCTGTCTGGAGGGCTTTCAAGGTTCAGACTGGACACGGTTGAACTCACAGGGGACATTCTGGCTGCAGCAGAAGTGGGTTCTGTTGTTTTCCATGCTCCACCAGTCAGGCACATTAAAAAAAAAAGTGTTTCTCCATTTCCACATCTCTCTGGTTGCACTGCAGACAGGCTGGCTGCAGACAAAGAAACCGAGTGGAAGGACAAGACAGACGGGAGGGTAAGGGGGAGGTGGTGGGAGGAAAAGGAGCTGGATATGTTGAACGGGGTTCCCCGGCTTCCCTCTGCCAAGGATTCCCTCCCAGTCATCTGGGCTGTGTCGACCCAAGGCTTGCCAAGGCACATTCCTGAACACTGACTTCAGCTTTTTCTCCAGCTCCACATCTCCGCCTCCTCCCCTCACAGTCCAGACAATGAATAAAAGAGGTTGTTTGCGAACAGCAGAAAAACCAAGCCGAGGGGAGACACTTCCTGGAGATTGTTGCCAACAACAGCAGGGGGAAGACGTTTTCTGCGTCCAGATAGTCCGGAAGTACAGCAGGAAACTGACTATCAATTCATCCACACTGCAAACAAAACGCTGATAAAAGCTAAACCCCTTCCTCTCCTCTTCCTGCTCCGTTTATTTTAAAAAATAACAACTGAAGAGTAATTTTAACAAGCCAGACTTCAGGCTGTGGCATGTAAACTACAAACACATGAATGTTTTCAGCTGTTCCCACGGCAACAGAGGTGACATTCTCTTCAGTTTGTCAAGACTCGCTAAAGCCTGACTGCAGTCAGCAAAGCCTCAGTGCAGGAGGCGTGAAAAGCACTGTTAGCATGGGTGGTGACACGCAGACGAGTCAGACACGCCTCCTAGCAAACGAGCTAACAGGCCAGCTGGTCAACAGCGAGTCACATGCCGAGCAGAGCCAAGAGCCCAGACTTCAGCTCCAGGATGTGAAGCCTTTTACAAACCAGGCGAGCATAACACAGACCTATAAATACCACGATGGTAACCCCTAATGATGGCTTTCCATATCCACTCAATCTCCTAATGTGTTCTCCCACTGAAAAATGGCTGAATGCATTAACCATATCCAATGTGAAATATAAATGTTCTGCATTCACAACCCTAACATTATCATCTCTGTCCCTAACACACAGACACACACACACACACACACACACACACACACACACACACATAAAAAAAACTATTCACCCAAGTTGTCTAAACAATTTACAAACACATGCAGTAAAGCATGGTGGTGGCTGGATTATGATGTGGGAATGTGTTGGTTCTGGGGTAGACCGATATATTGGTTGGCTGCCTCACTAGATGGGTATTTACTTTTTTATTTTTTATATATCTGCACTGGCTGATATACCGCTTTAGTAAAGCCGATTGTCAGGCACATCCTCGGGCAGCCTGGAGCTGCTGGAGAATTTAATTCAAATATTTATTTACGTTCCTGAATATCATCTGCACAATAAATGCTTTAAAAATTTATGTCCAGCTAAAATGTAATCATTTATACCAGTATTGAGTGTATAATACTTCAGTTAATTGATTTGTTTGATTAAGTTTAGTTCGATGTCTGGTTTTAACACTGAGCAGTGCTCAAAATTAAGACTTAATGGTCAAATTTAGTGTTCAAAAGCAGATTCAGCGTCAGAAATTTTGTGATTTATTAGTAACATGCAAATTAAGAAGAAAACGTTTAGATAATGGCCATGAAAATTGGCTTTAGAATTTGGTAGCAGATATCGCCCACTGGCTGACCATGAACTTGAAATAATGGCATTGGCATCAGAAAACAAATATCGGTCAAATTCCAGCTGGTTCCTCTGCCAAGTCTGTTATTAAGTGCATATTGTAGTATGCAACAAAGAGACTAAAGAATGGTTATTTGAATTCTAGGCAGCATCTCAGTAAACCTTCGAAAGAACCTAAAAGCTGCTGATGCTATAAGAGGAGCATGTTGAGCAGTGAAACGGACGTGTGAAAAGGCTTCTAGATCTGTGATGCAGTTTATTTTTTCTCATTTCAGAACCTTTTGTTTATCCAGTGATCAACAACTTGCTGCAAACCGTTTTGACTTCGTTGATAATACCTCAAGCCTTTTTATAATATCAACCCACCGACAAAATCAGTAGTTACACAAGAATTTTAGAAATTTCATGAATATGGTTCAAGAAAAGCTCAACTTAAAGTGACACTAAGCAGTTTTTAACACTAACTATTGACTTTAAAAGTGGGGTTTAGTGATTGTGTAGGTAGAAACTACCAACTTCACATGGGACAGCACTCTGCAGCCCTCTGCTAACCAGAAACGGCACTTAGGGCTGGAATAAACTTTCTTTTTAACCTTGTATCGACGCAAACAGCAGGCTCCCTGGTCCCTCCGACCACCAACAGCAGGCAAGGCGCAGTGTTTCCTCTACATAGGCTCAGGCATGGCATGGTGCCGTGGCTAAAATTCTAGTGCCACGGCTACGAAATCACAGACGGCAGCAAAAAGGTGCCGAGTGTGTGCTTTGGAGCTGAAATAAAGAGCTAAAACCGGATGAACATCGGCGTGTCCTACACTAGTTTGAGGAAGCTAGGGTTGTCACGGTATGAAAATTTAACCTCACGGTTATTGTGACCAAAATTATCACGGTTTTCGGTATTATCGCGGTATTTTTTAAACGGTGTTGCATATGTTCAGAAAGCATTGATAGTCCTGTTCTACACAAACTGAAATAGTTCTGAAAAGGTTTAACAGTGTTTATTAAACCTAAAATAACACAAAGCCTTAGCAAAAGTGCAACTTTTCACAAGTAAAGGAACAAATAGCTTATTTTTCTGGAACTTGTTACAGTAGTCAGTGCAGGTTTAAATTATACAAATCCAAACATTCAAAACATAAACAATATGTAAACAAATCAAATAAACACCACTTGTTTTCTCATATACTTGTTTTCTTCATTATCAAAATGAAAATCTAAAACTCCAGTCCACACTTGACTTGAGCACTGTACAAGTCAACCTTAAAAAATATGTATTTAAAATAAATATCCACTTTAAACAAATTACTAAAATAACTACTACACTAT